AATAGTTATGGATTTAATATTTTGGTTTTTCTTTAAATATTTTAATATACTGTCAACAAAATTTAACCAATTTCACAGTTATTGATAAGATTATCAACAATAACCCAAGATTATGAAACATGTAGACTTATCAAAAAATCTGAATTTCTATTATTTATTGATTATTTTTTATTTGGCTAAATTTTATTGTTTCATATTATTAAATATATGCCATTCTGTGCACAGCAAAAATGAAAACCTTAATTGGAGATATTAATAAAAAAAAATAATCAGTAAGTCAAAAAAATTTTGGATGTTTACATTTTTTGGGTGTTGAATGATCAATGACCGATCAATGAAAATCAATTTTGTTTACTGTGGCATTTTTCTGAAAAAGGTTGTTTATACTGTTTTTAAAAAATATTTTACTAAACTTTACTTTCTTCCTAGAATATTTATTGTAAAAAGAATGCGAATATATGCACATCAAAAAAATGCACAGAATGCAGATTGTACATTTTTTAAAAACAAATAGATTTCTCTATGATAAAAAGGTTTAAACACTTTTATAGACTCTTTGGTAACACTTTTTTAAAGACTTAAACTATACATTTTCTTTTTGAAAAAATTATGATTGAAAAGAGATTATTTAAATGTTTCAAATGAGTGAATAAATTTAAGACTTGTTTTGCTAAATTATATGTAAAATTAAAAAAAATATTATTTCTTAAGCAATTTTCAAATTATTTTTGAACTATGAGGTGGCGTATAAAACAATGAAGGGCTTTATTTAGTCCCTATGCTGCAGGTTGGGTATCCATGCTATGCAGTGTTAAAAAGGTTTCTTAACTTGTCACTATACATTTTAATTTCCGTTTGATCTTCAATCCAGCGAAAAATTTTGGTGCGCAGTTACCATCATTTTTGATGCTGATGGAAATTAAATTCATATTTTAGTACAGAACTGTAGTTATCGTGCAAAAAATCATATAAAATTGACAAAATAACAATTGTTGAATAGAATTAATGTAAATATTTTTTTCTAAAAATGTGCTTGTTTCCTAAGCAAAATGTTTTTGCAAAGAAGTCATTAAATTGATTCTAATGTTCATGTGCGGACTGCAAACAAACAAAGAAATAAAAAATGAAAAAATGGAAAAGTAAATAAGAAGAGTAAAAAATAATAGTTCACTTCAAGACCAAAAGTAGCCATACACCTAACTTTTTTACAGTTCTTATTTTGTATGCTTTTGTTTTGTATTAAATTTTTAGTATGCACCTTATTAAGTTCTGGAGTTGTATATTAACACTGTTGTTGTTTATCATTAATATTTTGGTCTCAGCAAGCTTAGTTCAGATAATATGGACCACTGAAAGATTAAAGTTGTACAGATTTAGCATAGTATCTAAATCGTTGAAAGTATTCATACTTAACAGTATTTGATTGTAATAGTTATTATGGTATTATTAACTGTGAATACTGAATGTGATCTGTTATTGTAATTATGATTATTTTTTTGATTTCTTAATTTAATTATTTTGAAAAAATATTATTTTAACTGCTTCATAAAATTGAGCTTTTTTACACTTCTTTATGTAAAATTTTGAAAGAAATAGCAATTGTTTTGATTTCTCGAGATAGTCATTAATTTAGATTGGTTTCTGAATTGGGTTTCAATAATTTATCTTAGCACTTAATATATACCTATTTCTACTATAGCCGGTCAAATGGCCAGTCATATTTATGTTTCTTGATTGAATGTATGAAATATGGATGTTATTAAGGAAATAAACTTTATTAGAATTAAGAGAAATTGTATATTGCCAATTTTTATGTATTACAAATACAAAGAATAAGAATTTTTAATTCATTGCTCTATGCAATTTCTACATATACAGGGGTTTCCATTGTGCATTTTCCGCTTCTAATTGTTATTATTTCTATAGTTCTTATAATTATTCTTATAATTATAAGAATGTATAAGAGCTATAAGAATTATAACTCTTATAATTATTCTTAAAATTAATATTATTTATTCTATGAACGTGTGTGGTCTTGATTGTTATGACTGTTAACAGTAGATTGTTAACAGTTAGTTAGAAATGAAGTAAAGCTATCAAAATAAAATATAAGCTACTTACCAAAACATTTAGTTTGTGTCACTTCTTCTTACGCAAAAATACCATTCGAAAATTTTAGATACTTTTTTAAAATTTGAATTCATAGTTATTCTGATTGAACTAACTACGCAACAGTCTTCGCAGAAATGTGCAGCTAATCGAATGCAATACGTTGGACACGCATTACATCGTAGTTTCTGATCTAATGACCTTATGTAGCAATAAATTGTTCTCTCTGTCAAATGACCGGTTGTGGTAGGAATAGGTATATTACAAATATTATTTGAAACAAACAAAATATATTTAATAAAATAATAGAATATTAACTGTATATAATTGTTAGAAAAAGTCATGGAGTCAAATGTGCAAAAAGGATAAGATGATAAACGCATTTTCGATGCAAAGTTCTGGTACGGTTATGGTATGTTGAGTGATAACATTATGCATAGAATAGGTTGGAAGTTAAAACTGTTATTCAAACTAAGAGGCGATAATAAACTGCTTTATTATCTTTCGTTTTTATAAAGAATTTCTTCTACTCTGCCTGAAAGAAACAAATTTCTTCCCCTGCAATTTATTCCATATTGGTTTCCCCGGTAAAGATCTATTTTTAATAAAGAGTAACTACCTTGAATTTTTTAAATACCTTTGTTTTCATGAAATTAATTTAAAATTTTAAGGCTATGTGACAAAATTATATGCTTGTTTAAGATAAAGATAAAAAATAAGTTTAGCATTAACTTTTTTTAATATCATCTTGCAAAATTATTGCCATGTCATTATGGAAATTCTCCTGATATCGTTCTTTATCAGTAACATATACATCTATATACACTAAATAATATTGAAGTCTGAGAAAATTCCTATGCGGGTTTAAATGACAAAGTCTTGAAAACTTTCTCTTAATCGGACTCGTTTGAGGTGTTGCTGACTATGTGAGCTACATTAGGTATCTGAGTTGTATAATCTAAGAACTGGTTTCCCTTGTTATGTTACATTTCTGGAATCTGGTCATAATAATCTTTTACAAAAATAAAATAAAATAAACAGTAAGTTATGACTGATTAGGCTAATCACACGCATCTTTTAGTTATCTTATGAATATGTAAGTTTTTTACTTTCAAAATCTTGGATATACTGTTGCAACAGAGCTTAATATGAACATTTGAAATACTATTTAAAAATAGATTCCCCAATGAATACATGAAAAAAAACTGCATGAAAAAGCATCTCACATAATTGAATTTAATTGTTAAATAAATAATATCAATATTGTGTGTTGATTTATTTGAGTTTAATAAAATATGTAATAGAGACTAATTTTTGGCATTTTAAGTATTTCATTGCAGTTGTATTGCTACGGGAACTCCAAACAGTATAATATATGAGAAGCAGTATAGTAAATCGTATTAGTTTATTATTTTGATTCATTAAAGCAAACTGAGATTTATATTTTAAAATTTTGATATTTTTTTATTTTTTATATGTCATACAAATTTTTTATAATTTTTTGTTGATAAAAAGTGAATTTCATGACTTGTAGGATTTAAAAAATTTGATTTTCTACGATAATTTATCTATTACAAGTCAAAAAAATGTTTGTTTTAGCAAATTCTATGCTCTAGATAATGAGATTTTATATATTTCAACATTATGAATAATTTGTAGATGTAACTCATGTACATCATTACAAGAGTTGAATCCTGATGTTATTAGTATGGATATTATAATGAAGTACATTGTACAGAGATTTGATATAAGGACATAAATACTTGTGTGGATATCATTATACGGTTATCAACAGTCCGGATGTCATGAGAATATACGTATACTGATGTACGCGTTTCAAATCTCCGTACTGTTGACATCATGTTGACTATTCTTAGCTGGGTATTCATACTTACCATAAAAATCATGCAAAACGAGGCCATTTTGTCCCCCCACCAAAAGCATAGTTAACATTTGAAAAAAAACATTCAGTTAACTTCTTACTGAACTGAATTAACATTTTGTAGTGACATCAAAACAGCATTTATGGAAACCTACCTGTGAATAGCTTCAACTAGTCATGAATTGGGCAATGACGTATAAGATTTTATCTAATAGTATTTTAGCATAATTCAGGAAGTGTTTAACTCACTAAATGTATAATTAATATTATTTTAAATTAACTTCAATTTTTATAAAAATTTGAAACATTTTACTTAATTTAAATTTCAAAAGTAATTACACAGTGTTGTAGGTAACATTTTTTTAGAAGTGTATTGGGTTGACAAATAAATTTCCCCGTATTTTCAAATTTTCTCATGTATATGTGTGGAAGTATTACGTTTTCTTTCCCGGTTCCTTTGCAAATTTTCGTACGAAAGTTGGTTTCATCATTCTTCATCGAACTCAATTTGACGGGCAGGACGAGGTGCATTTTTGAGGTCCATTTTTTAAACTTCGCATACCAATCACGAGCTCTTCTATGGCATTCTCTATATACCTAGCACAAATGTCACGATCAGCTTTTTCGGCCTTAGAACTTTGACTATAGGTTTCATAAATGCGCATTTTCTCATCGTGACACTCCATTTTAATGATATAAAAATTAATAAAAATTAATATAATTAATTACATTATTATAAATTCCAGACAAATAAAAAAATTCTCTTCTAAAAGATTTAAAAAAATCACTGATTACAAGTTATACAAGTTAAATGTTAAATTAGATGTCTAATCCAATAGTATTCAACCCACTAGAAAAGTTTTTTACTAATAAAAAATCTATGCTATAAAGAGAATCGTTAATGAAAGCGAAATAAATAAAACTATTTATGACACACTAATCAAAACAGCTCGTACAACAAAAAGAACTTACCTCAATTTTTGTAAGAAAAGGTGAATAAGAGATGCAATCATTGAAAAGTGCTTTATTCAGTGCTACATTACAAAATGGAACTCACCTTGTAAGTCAGCTTATATGAGGCTGGCTACTATAAACTAAATATTTGAGTCAGCGTATATGAGGCTGACTAATACAAACCAAATATTTGCTCACATATAATCAGTCTTAAGAGTACTTTTGAATGATGTTGTTGATAATTTATATTTTATTTTTTAGTACAGCAATAAAAATTTCAGTATTGACTACAAAAAGAACTCAGTTGAAAAATATTGAAAGACTTCAGGTGATATGCAAAGCACGATTATTTGACGTCATCTAGGACAAATTGTCAATCCAGTCATTGAAGGAATGCAATACGGTAGATTCGGTAAAGACACAATGGGGGAAAAAAAGGTAGAAGGTAAACCAGCAATGTGACTTGGATGTGGAGGATAAGGTCTAGATGCCATGCGTAATTTTTCTATTTCAGCTTCTTTAAGTCGTTTTTCTTTTGCTCTTCGATTTTGAAACCAAATTTTTACTTGAGTTTCCGTAAGACTTAAAGAAGATGAAAACTCAGCTCTTTCTGCTATTGATAAATATTGCTTGGAACGAAATTTTCGTTCTAAGGCTAATAATTGTTGTGTTGTAAAAGGAGTCCTGGGTTTCCTATTACTTTTGTGTCTTCTTAAGTGACAAGTAAGAGGCTTTGATGAAGATCCATCCGCTCCTGTAAGAAAACGATTCTTATTAATTTTTCTTTGTGGGAATATATCATACTTCAAATCTAAAATAGTTTTAATGATTTTCTATAATTTCATTTCTATTTATGACTATGGTTACGGCACAAAAAAAAAAGATAGAAAATTTAAAACTGGATTAATTACTTGCATGACACATTAGAAAAACAGTGGGAATTTATAATTGCAATTAGAATTAATGATGTTGTTGAAATTATAAATCAGTTTTATAACTTTTTATCTTCCTAGCTATAGGACAAAAATAAAATAAAATCGAAAATAAATGTGATAATTCAAAAATAAATGTGAATACAAAAATTTGCTCGATAATTTCAAATAACACTGATTTCGAAAAGCAATTGGAGCTTTTATGTTATACCTAAAATATTAGATGCAATACCAGTAAATTATATTCAAGTGTCTTTTGCGTACTTTCCTCAAATTATAAAACTTGCTGATCCCTATTTTTAGGAGCCTGGGAGAGGCGATAACTTATTAGGGCCGGAATATTTTACCATCTCTTAAAATTTGGTCAGGTTGAAGTACCTAAGTCAGAATTAAAATTCCAAAACCCTGTTTTTGGATTTATAGTCACTGGAAGTATCTCAAGTTCAATTGACCAATCACAGCAGAAAGCTAATTGTGGATTAGTTTATGTCTGCTGTGAAATAGAAAAACATATTAAAGAGTTTCAGCAACTGGAATCCATCGGAATTAAAGATGTTGCAATGATTGTTTACAATGAGACAGATCAATCATTAGCACAGCGCGAAAAAACTGTACGTTACAAAGATAACCACTATGAAGCTAAACTACCTTGGAAACGAGGTTGGAGGAAACTTAGCGATAATTCTGCAGTAGCCAAAAAGAGATTTGATACGTTAGTGCGCAGATTCAAAAGGGTTCCAAATTTATTTTTACAATATCGTGAAACATTAAATGATTATGTGAATAAGAACATGATGGAAAAAGTATCTAATTCTAGGAAACTCAAAGATAAACCCTTATTTTACCTACCACATCAACATGTTTTATATATGTATCGAGCAAACATTATTGTTTTTAATTTTAAGTTTTTAATTTTCAAGGCTGGGATTATGTTTAAGAGCAAGCAATGCGTCGTCATTGCATGCGTTGCTAAGGTGACTGTTTAATAATTCCTTTTAATTAAGATTATTATGCATTGATACTTTGGTTAGTTGAATTGTGGAATATGAAGTCCTGTAAAATTCTCCTAAAGTTGCTGACATTAAAGAGAATTTCATCTCTTGAATGATCAGAAATTCTAGTCTACAGTTTAATTCTTAAACTATCTTCGGCGCAAATTAATTAGGTCATGAAACTAACAGCATGACTAAAAGTCTTTTTAATATAGCTATTAAAATCATTTATCTAAAGACAAAAAATATTTAATAATTATTATTTTTATTATTTAATTTAGCAACGGTAGAAACTTGTTTAATTGATATCATAATTTTTACTTCAAGTCATGTCACTTATGCAAATAAAATGCTTTTTTTCACTTAAAACTATACTTATTTATGAAAAAAATTGAGTAATGACAGACAAGATTCTTTAGTAGAAATTTTAATAAAAGTAAGCAACACCTTCAGGCCTAAAAATGCGTTTTATAAATTTAAGGCTTTTTTTTTAATGAAAAAGAGTTACAACTGCGGACAAATTATATAAGTTTATACAGGGACCATATAATCAAAAAAACAATTTCCCAATATCAGTCTTCGAAAATTTTAAATAAATAAATGCATTTTAAAAACTTACTTAGTTATTAAATTCAAAATCTAATTAAAGAAGTGATGCATTCTTTTAATTAGCACGATTATACACGTTTTTGTATCGCCTCGTACTATAGAGTAAAAATTACTTTTTGTTCCAACTAAGTCTTTACTTCATTTCGCATGAAAGTAGAGCAAAACTTTGAATACGAGTTTTTGTTAAATTATTTCAAATGCATAGGATAATTGAGCAGTGGGATACATTTAAAACAGCGAAATATAGCTTATATTACTCTATACTGTATATAAATAACCGCATGAATAATACGAGTAGCTATTACCAGTGCGTACTTACCTTTCAATTATGGGTAAAAGTTACTATCATATACAAAACTTTGAGGGAAAAAAAAGACAGTACATTTATAAGAAATGAGCAAAGAGGACAAAACTAATTCAACTGAGTGTACATCGCAATAAGGAATGTCGCTTAGGAGAAAAAAAACAAAGGGAAAATTTTTTTCTAGGAAAAAAAAGGAGTGCTTAACTTCCTACACTAAGACAAGAAAGTGAGACTTCGATGAGTCTTTAAAGTTGAAGATGAGTGGGACGATACTCAAAACTAATTCTTTGGCTGCCTAAGGAAATTAACTGTCGCAACAGAAGGTATTTCTCGATAAATGAGGGTAATTAATGGAAAGAAAAGTAAACAATATTTTTGGATGGAAAATACTGAAAATTGATAGTTTCGCAAGTTTGAAATAGCTCAAGTAATACTTGTGCCCCGATTCGACCTGCCACCCTTAGTGAGGGCCAGCTCGGCCACTCTCAACTGGTTGCCTTTTTAAGTTCCTGTAACCATTTCTTGAATACATGTTTCATCATGCATAAACATCAACAGTGTGTAACAAATTCCTCCTTATGAGAGGTTTCCTACCTTTATTATAACAATAGTAATGATTAACTACTGTAATAGTTTAACATACTTATTCAGAATTGTCCAACAATTATAATTTAAAGCAATTTTATAAATCTAAATTGTAGAGTATTTTATTTGGATTCATACGTTATTTTCTGGTAACGTTTTTAGAAATATCTCACAAATTCTGCCACTCGATATGCCCAGAGTATATCAGTTCAATATGGTTATTTCTAATTTTTACCCTGACATGCCATACCGATCACGTCAAACAGAGATCTCACAAATTTTAACAAAAATCGCTGAGAATTGGGACCAAAGGGGAAGAAATAAGACATTATTGTATTTAAGAATTTTTTAAACTAACTTTTTTTAGTCCTCTAGTCATGCTTATTTTTATTGACGAAATGTATACTCCAATTGCTGGGCATTAGAAAAAAATTTATTTAAAAGTTATATTATTGATATTATTTTAAAATAACATGTAATGATAGATAGAGCATTGTAAGAGCGATAGTACCAAATAGTTCTTCTATATTAATAGTATGATTTGCATGTACACCATCAATGTTTATTCGTGCTTTCTTGTTAATAATACTTAATAATTAAAAAGTAATGATACTAAACATTTTTGATGTGCACTTATAATAAAAGTATTGATATATTGCTTATTATATAACTTTTCTCGACATATATGGGTAAATTCAATTGTTTCATCAATTGAAAAAAATATATATCGGGCATGTGTACCCAAAATATTATTTGAAAAAATACTTTATTTTATACGATATCGAGCTTTCATATACAATTTATAGGTTGTAAAAAACCCTCTTATAATGCGAAAAGTTTACACCTATCACACCCTATCGTCTGTAAATTGTTTACAAGTTGTCGAGAGTTGTTTTCCATTCTGATATGCATTTACTAAAACAAAGTTAAACCATTATAATATGTGAGGTACAACCCCGATTGTGGCAAAATTAGCTCTATTTTCTAGTGGACAATCTATCAATAGGATTCATACTAGCCACGAAAATTTAGTGGTACAAAAACTTAACATGCTAGACAAACTTGAGAAAAAAAAATCGAACTATGCAATAACATAATTTATGTCATAGTATACATTTGAAATCATTAAATGCTATTGTTAGAACACTCTAAAACTAATTAGGTTCATTTCCTCATAATTAGTATTTATTAAAATTAAGTGAAAAAAAAACTAAAATAATATTACTAAAAAGATTCAAAGTACAGACTAAGAGGCTGAGACCAAAGAAAAACAGAAAAAGTAAGAACTTACAAAATATTATATTTAAAATTAATTATATGAAAATTATAAAATTCAATATAAAGTCAATTCTTAAATAACAAAAAATATAGTTTTATTGATAAACTATTATACTGTCAGTACATGAACGGAAAGCACAGCTGGTAAGTTTAAAATTTCAACATTTAAATATTTTTGGAACAGACATTTTGAGCGATTCCATTTGAAATATTTTTAAAAATAAAATAAACAAATTGCAATCATCGTGGCTTATATGCATTCATTACATGAATTTCAATCTACGTATTATTTAACATACCAAAAAGTGCCTTTAATGCAAAATTCTTCATATTCTATCGAAATTGGTCAACATTTCTTCCTGAAAAAAATCTTTATCAAACATAAAAGCAGTTCAAGCATTACGTAAGTTTATTTTTGGCAATTTTGTACTCCCTTTGTCAGCAACAACTCCCCCGGTAGATGCTTACTTAAAATTTGAATGACCCCTGAGTCCAAATGTATGCAAAATAGAATAAAACATTTTATTCAAAATTAAAGGATTGCAAAAAAGTTTTAGAAGTGCTTGGTTGAAATTGCTCACTCAAAAATTGTGTTGAATTTCGTCCTGCGCAATAACACTTTGGAAAAAAGTAAAATTTGTCAGAATTGTGGCTATAAAAAATGTGTAAAATTTGAACTTTTTAGCATAAATCTTCAAGAAAATATAAGCATATACATCTGTTCAAAAAACAGATCGAAAATGCCTCCAAATTCTTTCTTCAAATAGATAATCTTAAAATAAGTTTATTCAAATATTATTTCATATTTGGAAAAGGGTATTATCGTTGGGTATTATTAGGGTATTTGACTTTATTATGGCATCACTGTGACAATTCATATTATCTTTGAGGCAATTACTTCAGAAAAAATTAAAATTTCAGCAAGAAAAAAAATCCACTTAGGTTTATAAATGATAATGCTTCTTTTAGCGCGTCAATTTTCAACTTAGTAATTTCAGTTAAGTCGATTGCAAAGTGGTTACATAGTATTTTTCACTACAAGTTTAATAGTTAA